TAAGCACCAAGGTTGACAAATAAACAAAGTCTACACGTTTAGAAATAAAAGAAAGGCCATCTTACACACCTACAGTCCCAGCTACTTGGGAGGCTGAGGTGGGAGGAATGCTGGAACCCAAGAGTTTAAGGCCAGCCTGGGCAACACAGCAAGACCCCATCTCTTAAGAAATAAAAATAGTATCCTGACACCATCAACATGAAAATGTAGCAAGTTTCACTCTTAGGGCTCAGATGTTGAAGAAGGGCCCTGGGTTGCATGTGCTATCAGCCACATGCAACGGTACTGTACACTCTGGTGGGGGGTGTCTTACTTCCTCATCACCAGAGGAATAATTTATGATATTATTATTGAACCTTCAAGCATTGGCTCTATGACTGATAAATATGGGCCTCAGAGGTCAGTAGCTTTCTGGACCTACAGAGTAAATGGACAATATAACCTGGAAGGAGTCACATTCAGCTTCCTGTTTATAGTAGGAGGTTTAGGTTTCACAATCCTGGACCCATCTAATAAAAAAATTCCAAAACTCAACGGATTTTTTTCTCCTATTAGTTGGATTCATTTATGCTCTATCGATTTTTTTTTTATGGCTAGAGTATTTGTGAGAACAAAACCTCTGGGCTATCTGTCAGGGTAGAATGCCTTTTGAGAAGAAATCAACGGATACTGGATTTGCACATTAACGATGCTTTAAAGGCTACACCATGAGGACATTATCTGGTACATGGTAAGCAGTAACTAAGTATTAAGAAAATAAAAATAATAAAGACTACACCAATCCTCTACCATGAAATGTGGAAAAGAATGAAGAGCAGCAGTAAAAGAAGTAACAAGTGAAAACATTCAGGCTAAGACAGGAATTTCTTGCTGTAAAAGCCCAGTTTATCACAGCATTTTTTCAATGTACCAATAAGGCTAAGTAACATTCTTTTCTTAGTTTTTCATTTCTTAAAGAAAATATAACCAGGCATGGTGGCACAGTCTGGCAGTCTAAGGCAGGAGAATGGCAAGTTTAAGGTCAGCCTTGGCAAGTGAGACCTGTCTCAAAGTAAAAAATAAAAAAGGTTGAGGATGTAGCTCAGTGGTAGAGGACCCCCCGTGAGTTCAATACTCATCCAGAACTAAACAATATATATATATATACACACTTACATACATATATATACACATACACACTATGCTTCTAAAACTATAATATTGAACAAGGTTTTTTGTTTTGTTTTGTTTTGTTTTTACAACACCTATAACATTTTGGGATATATTTCTGATTTTCAGAAATTAATGTAAAACCAGGAAGCAAGATCCTATAAGCAGAGAGCTCTGGGCTGCGGATCAGCTTCACCAAAGGTGCTTTGCCTTTAAACAGTTTGAGTGATAGTATGTTATTTCACATATGATGCAAGACTATCTTCTGAACAATAAGGGGTGAAAAGAATAGAAAATGTTCTAATTGTAAAATAAAGTAAAATGAGATAAACTTTGGGGAGAGTTTCATCAATGAAATGTGAGAAGCTGTTGCTAACAACTGAAATCACCAACTATTCCTTGAAACTCCTATGGCATCTTCTTTTTTGGAAAGAAGACAGCTCCAGAGGAGGCACCCAGAGAGATGCTCCCGACAACCATCCCTCAGAGCAAAGGAGTCCTCACATTTCGCTCTCCTACAAATCCGGGTTCAGACCAGCAATGTCCTTTTTTTATTTTCTCATTGCTCTCAACAGCTGAAGCCCTGTGGAGCAATATGGAACCCATACTGCCCCCTGCTGCCCACTCGCTCCCTAACAAGGATCCATTCATACTCACTCTGGCTGGGGGCCCTCTTTTGCTCCCATGCCTATAGAAAAAAAAAAATAAGAAAAGCAACAGAATGCCCCCACAAAAGTCAAATGTCTTTATTTTATATATAAAAAAAAAATTTATACAGTTTTAGTTTCCTATGTTTAAGAAAAAAATCCCTAAAATTGCCATAATGTTTAGATCCACTGCAAACTGTAAAAACAAAGCTTTTTATATATTAAAAAAAAATTTACATTTTACAATTTTCTACATGCATGCACAATGTCTCAGCTCTGTAATCCAAAAAAAAAAAAAAAGAAAAAGAAAAAAGAAAGAAAGAAAAGAAAAGGAAAAAATCTAGATCCAACAATGGAAAATTCTACATTTACAATCTCACTTGAAAGAGACTCAAGAAGCCCCTTCCTTTTGCGCAGAGAACAAAATCACAACAGTCACACACCAGGACTTAGTCCAACAGCAGATACTGCCCCAAGGGGAGGGCAGAGGAGAGAAGACAGACCGACAGACACCACAAAGGAGAAAGGGAGCTCATCTGGGCCCAGCAGAGAAGAGAAACACAAACCCTGGGAACATGTCTCGGATGAGAAGCTTCCAGGGATCCAACATCTCATCACCGGTGCTTCACCAGGGTTTGCCATGGGAATGCTGAGTGGGCTGGGGAAGCCGACAATTAAGGGCTGAAATGGAGGGGGATGGCAAGGAAAAAGTGAGAGACTATAGGGACATAAACAAGAATAAATGAGAGACAAAAATACCACTTAAGGAGAAGGGAACCAATGGGGACAGTGGCAGAGTGGCGAGGTAGGTGAAGGACCGAGGCACAGTGTCCTGGTGTGCTGGGGAGGGGGGAAAGCATTCCAAGGCCATGAAAAGGAAGGCCAAGTAGGTGTGCTGGGGAGCAGCTAGGATGCCCGTCGTCATAGAAACAACAGCACTGGAGATGCCCAGCACAGTATCCCAGCATCCCCTGTGGGGATGGAGCAGAGCTGCCCCACGTGGGCACACCCCCTCCCAGGAAGAATGGAAAACCCAGAAAGCATGGGACCCACACCCCCTCTCAGGAAGAATGGAAAACCCAGAGAGCGTGGGACCGGCCTGGTGGGGGGAAACTGCGCATAGGGACCAGCTGCCCATCCCCCAGCAGTTCACAGCATGAAGACAATTCCCATACGGGAGAAGAAGGACACACACACAGCCATACACTTGACAATTCATCCTGACATTTAAAAAAAAATATTAATAATAATAACCAAAAAAAGACAAAGATACCACAGTTCTGACGCAAAGGACCAAAACACTACCATTCTCAGTCACAGCCCTTAGTGCTTAGAGAAAGAGTTGGGGGGTGGGGGGCGGGAGGAATGGTTTCTCTTTTTGTTTTAGGAAAAAGGAATGAAAAAATCACAGTGATTAAAAACATGGCAGGTTCTTAAAATAAACACTCCCCCTGTCCCTAACTTAGGGCAGCAACTATGATCACAAATAATTTCCTTCCGTCCACCCTAGCCACGCACCCAAACCACACGACATACACCCTGCTGTTGCCCACAAAGGCAATGACCCCAGTCACCATCCGGGTCTTGTTCTCCAGGACAGTGAGGTATTTATGTGACCCAGAGGGACTCCTCTGAAACCAGATTTTACTTTAATATAAGATACCTCTCCCAGGACCCCCAGGACAGCATATATTTCACATGGGCCTATCCGAGGACCCCAGCCCCAGCTCAGTGCTCATCTAGAGGCCCCCTGCTGGGGACAAGGGACAAGAAAAGCCCTGACTGACAAACCAGCTACATGGTAGGTAGAGAGATGTGCCTTTTCAGAAAGGACAGGAGAAATTCCAATCTCTAGGTTATCACGACAGAGACAAAGCCTCTCAGGTGAGAGCTGAACGGGCATCTTATCCCAGAATGTGCTTTACAAAGAAAGTACCGGCAAATTTCCCAGGGAAGAGAGGGGCCTATCCAGGAGAATTGTGCGTTACTTAAAGAATGGGCCCAGGGGCATGCTCCGACTTGGCCATAAGAACAGTTCTCTATGTGGATCCTAGAAGGATATCTAAATTAGGCGCTTCCTACTTCTATTCCCCTTGGTACATCATTGATGGTATCTCATTTATAAGCTCAAATTTACTCTGAAAATATGCATTAGAGTGCCAGTGAATTTTGCTCACAATGAGACCTAAACTATTGAGAGAATTCAGATTTGGTGCAAAGGTGATGGAAGCTAAAATGGGGTGAGGGGTTATGTACCCACAAAAGGCAGTAATCCTGGTCTCTCACCCCAATACAGTGCCCAGAGAACCAGAGGAGAACAGGAGAGGGGGGACCCTGGAAGGCCATGGAAAAGAGACCCCTGAGGCAAAGAACTGGACTTAAGGCAGGGAACAAGGAGGAGCTGCAGGCTCCTCCCCAAAAACAGATGAGGCAACAGGTCTCAGGAGCCAAGAGAAGTCAGCAGGATTGGGGCGGCTGGTGCAGAGAAGCAAAGCATCTGTTGAGACCACGGTGTTGGTCAGGGACTGTTCGCCAGTAAGTCTGTTTAGGAGTCTGTCCTTCATTGAGAAGAGTCAGAATGAAGGTCAGGACAGGTAGAGAGGGCAGGGGTCAGTGACAAGTGTCTCTCTGACCTCAAGGATCTATCCTAAGGCCACTGGACTTTCCCCCAGGGCCCTGGTGAAGTGGTCAGAGGCCTTCCACCTCAGTCTGCCTGTGGTCACGTGTGATCATACAATCAGATCATACAATCAGGGCTGGCAGGTGGAGACTTCCAGGTAAAGGACGGGATTTTCCCTTGCTCTAAATATATGTGGATGGTGGGGGGGGGGGGGTAGCTGGAGCAAATAACGCTACAGGGAGGCTCCTAACTCTTGGGTTCTGTGGCAGGAGCATCCCTGTCCAAGAACTCTGGGTTTGTTATGAGTGGGGTGAAGGGGCAGGGGGGGAGACACCCACTGCCCTAGAGGAGTTTGGCACTGTGGCTCTCTGGGGTCAAAGCCATACCCCTGGAGAAAAACCTGTCATGGGCCACTGGAGAGAACAGCTAGAAGAACTTGGGCTTGAGAGTGGGGGCGTGGGAAGGGAAGGGACAATCAAGAGGGCCTGGGCCCTTTCAGAAGGGACCAACATCTAGGGAAAAGGAGGAGATGAGGCACTGATTCCTGCAGGGCCTGGAGGGGTATAAAAGTGGGGGGAGGGGGGTTCCCAGGTACTGTTAACAGCAGGATGATCTCTCCAGGTTCACGTGGGCAAAATAAGGAAGAGGGAAGGAGGCAGGGTGAGGGGTGAGTTAATTCAAGTAAAAAAACAAGAGCAAGAGGGAAAAGGGCAGCGGGAACGTGGCTGGGCCTGAGAACCAAGCCCCTCTCCGGCCCCGCAGAAGCCCCCGAGTCTCCCACTCCCCTGCAGTTGCATGATCACACTGAGGTCTCCGATTGCAGCCTCATGACAAACTTGTGTGACTTGGGATCCACAAATTCCTCGGAGAGTTTGAAGAAGGGCACCTTCTTGGTGCTGACCACCAGGCTGAAGTCCTGGCGTTTTAAGAGGAAAACGATGCCATCCTTAAGCCCATTGGTCACCGGCTCCTCGCTCACCAGTGTCCACTGTTTGGCCAGCCAGCGTTCCTTGTGGTACTGGATGGTGGGTCCAGCTGCCAGATACCGCTCCAGGAAAGCCTGAGGAGGGGAGAAGAGACTGCCTAGGAATCTGTCTCACCCTCCCACTGTCCTTCATCTCCTGGGCACAGCTTCCAAAAACACCTAGCATGTCTCCAGGCTCACGCTGCGTACGAACTAATATCTTGGAATGCCAGAGCAGAATTGATTGATGGATAAAAAAGACAGCACCCATAGAAATGATATGGCTCCACAGAGTCAGGACTGAACTTGGGTCCCCTGACCCCTGTCCTCTGTGCTGTGATCTGGACAAGCCCTCCCTCGTTATTCCTTCCCTCCCTCCCATATATCTTGTACAATCAGCACCGAGCAGGTCTGCAGTACGGGGGAGCTAGCAGGGGACAGGTTACATCTTTAGTCCCCTGTTCATGAAGAGCAGCTCAGGGAAAGCCAATCTAGGAAACTGGCAGTTGAGTTGTGTGGTGGACAATGGCTGAAAAAGAGCACAAGTCAAAGACCATCTGGGAGGTGAAAAGGGTCACGGGTAAAGGTGGGACTTTGCATCTGGAAATTCCAGAGTCCTTATAAAAATGAGAAACAGGTCTGTCTTCCCCCAATTAGTTCTGAAGTCCACCTTTGCTTCATCTACCTAAGGACTTTACTCCATGCAGACAGGGTAGATGAGTTAGGGATGAGAAAAGAGATGATAAAGAGGAGGAGGCAGAGACGAGAGAGAGAGAGAGAGAGAAAGGGAGAGAGAGAGGGGTAGAATGAGGTGAGAAATAAGGGAATAAAGGGAGGCTGAGTGTGGGGTCTCATGCTTGCAATCTGAGCAACATGAGAGACTGAGGCAGAAGAATCACAAGTTTAAGTCTACCCTCAGCAACTTAGCAAGACCCTGTCTCAAAATAAAAAGTAAAAAGGACTGGGGCTATAGTAGAGCTCAGTGATAGAGCACCCCTGGGTTTAATCCCTAATACTGCAAAAAAAAAAAAACAACAAAAGAAAGTGAAGGTGGACAGGAAGAGGACCAGAAGCTGGGGAGAGAGGAAGGACACTAGGAGCCGCGGGCCCACCTTGGGGGTCATGTCGTGAGTGATGCAGAATTCCAGGTGCTGCAGGATACTCTCCATGGTGTGGTAAGGCTGCTGCTTGGTGGTCCGAAGGTACTTCTGCATGGCACGAGCCATGGATGCAAAGATGGCCTGGGCTGCCTCCCGGGGATCCATCACCTCCCTTGGGTTCTTCTGCTCCTCCTCCTGCAGTCGCTTGATGTGAGTGAAGGCCTCCTCCACGGCTACGACGAGCCTGGGGGACCAGAGGGTGGAGACCAGATGCCCGCCTTACATCTTTTCCCTCTCCACTGGCTTCAACCACCAGGGCCTGAGCAAGGTCAGGCTTTTGTGCCCTCCCTGAAGCAGCACAAGCTCCACAGGGCTGGGGAATGGGGGGCTTTCTGCCACCAAGGGCAAGAAACAACCAGAGCTCAGGGGCCACAGCCCAGCGAGTCAGAGGACAAATCTAGTGGCAAACTCAGAGAGACAACTATGAATCATGTTACAGGAAAGAACAAGCATCCCGTCAAATCCTAGGAAAAGCCTTCCTAAATAGGACCACCCTCCACACACCACACTTAATCATGTGAAAAAGTAACAGATATTACTGGGCTGGGGATACGGCTCAGGTGGTAGAGTGCTTGCCTCGCATGCACAAGGCCCTGGGTTCAATCCTCAGCACCACAAAAGGAAAAAAAAAAAGTAATAGATATTACTAATTTTTTTTAAAGAGAGAGAATTTTTTAATATTTATTATTATTTTTTTTTTTTTTTTAGTTTTCGGTGGACACAACATCTTTATTTTATTTTTATGTGGTGCTGAAGATCGAACCCAGCGCCCCGTGCATGCCAGGCGAGCGCACTACCACTTGAGCCACATCCCCAGCCTGATATTACTAATTTAAAATGACAGATTTCTATTCAGCCACAATGGCATGGGCAACATTAAGTAACCTCGGATGGGTGTGGGTCATGTATGCAGCATTTAAAAGCCAACAAAGGATTGACATCTAGAATATGCAAATAATTTGCTATAAATTAAGAAGAAAAAGGCAAGAACTCTTTAGAAAAACGGGCAAAAGAGATGAACAGACAATTCACAAGAGGCCTGAGAGATTAAAATATACATAAAGAAGGCACTGGCTCAGAAAGATGAAAATTAAGTAAGATACTATTTCTCTGTTGTGGGAAGCTATCCTCACACGTGATTTGAGTTACCTCCCTGGCTGGGTGAGAGGCGCTTAGACACAGAGGTGTCAGAGCCTTCCCCACCCTTCTCCAGGTCCGAGGGCTTGTCCGTGCAGAGGCATGTCTGGCCACACACCTGAAGACCCAATCGTTGCCCCTGACCTTGGGATGCTGCCCCCCTTAACCTTCATTGGATGGGATTTTTCCCTGGAATTCTTTGTTCCCCAATAAAAGCCCACTCCCTGGCGTGCTCTCCCTCTCTCGCTAGTCTCCTCTGTAAACCTCGCCACCGCATTAGGTAGCTGGAGGCGGGAGCTAGGAGAAGCCGTCCAGGAACAGGTATTAAAGGTAATGAGAGTCTTGTCTCTTTAAATTTAAAACTCCCTAGCAATTACTTATGAATTGAACCTTCTTTCATGAAGTCAGCACTAGTCGCGTGGCAGACTGTCAAAATAGAAAAGGACTATAATCCAAATTTTGTGTAGTACATTGGGAAAATTCTATGAAACACTATGCAACAAACGGGGTGTATAGCCAATAATGGATAAGTCTCAAAACTATAGTGTTAAAGGAGAAGTAGGGGGGAAAAAAGTGGATGTGTAACCGATGTGAATCTGCAATATGTATATGGGGTAAAAATGGGAGTTCATAATCCGCTTGAATCAAATGTATGAAATATGATATGTCAAGAGCTTTGTAATGTTTTGAACAACTAATAATAAAAAAATTTTTAAAAAAAAGGATAAGTAGGGGGAAAGTCAATTTATACAAAAAGCATACAAAAATCAAGTTGTACTGAATATATACAGGTTTTAAGGAAATCAGACACACTAGTGAGTGCCTACCATGGAGAGACTGAGGATAGGGATTAGGGAAGAGGGAAAATAGAATAAAGGACTGTAAAGAAACCTAAGATGACAATACGTTAAAAGCTAAAAAGGCTAAGTAATACAATTCTCTAAAGTCCAAAAAACAATAAAAACCCATGTGGCCTAAGAGCAGGACAAGGAAAGGAGGCCTATGGCCCAGTAACCAGAACCCAGGGACCTGGAACCTTCAATGAGCCGAGGCTGGACCCTAGGCTAGGTACGTGCACACTGTGCAGACCTACAATTTCTGCTGCTTCTTTGCTTTCCTGGAGTTCTTCAGCAAGTTCTTTTTTAAAAGAACATCTCTATCTCAGGAACGCAAAGCAAAAAGCTGTCTCTCGGTTCCAAGCAAAGTAATGGGAGAAGAAAAGGGCCCCTATGTGCCAAGAATGGTGGTGGCAGCACATGAGATCCAAAGACCCTAGTCGGGGCAGAAGGCAAAGGGGTAGAAGAAGGGCCATTCCTTCCCCCACCCATCTTTTAATAGGTGCATTCTAGTTGCACATAACGATGGGATCGGTAGTCCATATTCATACATGCAAACAGTATGCCAATATCACTCCCCAGCACTTGCCCCTCCCTCTCCTAGAAACGACCCTAGGAGGGCCATTTCTGAGACAACCGAACTCATGCAGGAATGTCAGAGGAATGGAGTTGGTGATCTTTATTCTACTCCAGGGGACACCAGCTTCATTTGTAAGGACAGAGCAAGGGCTGCCTCCCCTTCTTGAAGTCTGGAGATGATGTGGGAGAAGGGATGGAGGGTAGAATGAATGGTCCGAGGCTCTCTGCTCCTCCCCCACCAGACCCAGGTGGGACCTGATGGCAGCAGGCAGAGAGAAAGTTTCTTCAGGCATGATTGAAGTTCACATTAGGGAAAAGGGACAGGTGAGGATAGCATTTAAAAATTTACCAGGCTGGGGAAGTGTCTCAGTAATAGAGTTTGCCTAGCATGTACAAGAGCTTAGATTCAATCCCCAGCACCACCAAAAAAAAAAAAAAAAAAAAATGAGTTTACCAAAATATAGACACAAGAACCTTATTTTTGCAGGCAAAAAAGCCCCATCTGCTAAGCCTTCAAGATCTATTGATAGAAGCATAGCCAGCCTGCTGTTTCGGATAAGGTTCACATCTTGATAAGTCACTATCCCACTGTAGTAGGCAGAATGCAAAAATGCTCCCTGGAGTTCCACTCCCTCATTATTCAATCATCTCGGTATTTTTTTCAAGAATGGAGGTTAAATCCAGGAGCACTCTACCACAGAACTACATCCCCAACTCTTTTATTTTTTATTTTGATAGGGTGGTACCACGTTGCCCAGGCTGGCCTCAAACTTTGATCCTCCTGCCTTAGCCTCCTGAGTCATTGGATTACAGGCATGCATCACCACACCCCGCTTAACCTCAGAACATTTCGCAGATGTAATTCAAGGGCCATGTTTGCTAACTTTAAAATAAGATTATCCTGTTACGCATGATCTAATCACATGAGTTCTTCAGAAGCAGTTTTCTCCCGCTGGTGGCAAAAGAAGTCAGAGACTCCTCCCACTGGAAAAGCCAACTGTCATGCTCGAAATTGCCTGTAGGGTGGCAGGACAAGGAGGTGATTCTGCCAAAGTCAGTGAGCACTGGGTGGGGTGGTACATGCATGTAATTCCAGCTACTCGGGATGATGAGGCAGGAGGATCACAAGTTCCAGGCCACCTTGGGAAACTTAGAGAGATCCTGTCTCAAAATAAAAATTAAAAAGGGCTTGGGATGAGGTTCAGTGGCAGAGTGTCCCTGGGTGCAGCCCTGGTACTACCAAGAAAAGAAAAGTCAGTGAGCTTGGAGGAGAAGCCCAGGCTCAGAGTGAGGTTTGATTTCAGCCTTGAGACCTAAGAAGATGGTCCAGCAAGCCTGAACCTGACCCACGGAACAGGAGATGATAAACAGGTTGCTTTTAGTTGCTAGTTTATGGTAACCTGTTAGAGCAGCACTAAGGACAAACATACCCCTATATCATCACTGCTCACCTATTTCAAATAGTTATAGAAGTCCCTCGGGCTTCCTCTCCTCAGCTTACCCCATGGTCAACACCACCCTGCACTCCACCCCACCCCACCCCACCCCACCCCTCTTCTCCCCCAGGGACCCACCTGGCCCTGCGCTTGCGCACCCTGCGCTCGTGTTCAGCTTCTTCGTAGTAGTACTCATTGTGGCTGTTGTCCCGCCGCCGGGCCGCTGCTGCGATCGCAGCCCGAGACTGGCCCGTGGAGTTGTTGGTGCTGTTTTCTGCACAGGATCAGGATAGAGACGACGGTCACATCAGAGTGTGGCCTCTTTCCCCACTCCAGGAGCTCTGGAGACACAGCCCCCGTTGTGTTTAGAGGAAGCTCTTCCCCCCACCCAGCAATACCACCCATTCCCTGTCCTCCTGGCCGCCTCTGGAGAGGCTGGGGAAAAACAACCAGGAAGGCACCGGAAGGGCAGAAGTCCTGCCCGTGTGCCTCCTGGGCTCAGGTGAGCCAAAGGGCTGAGACCAGAACCGATAAGCAGACACGGGGGAGGCAGATTGGGGAGACACACCGTAGCATAAAGGGGGAGCAAGTAGAATCAGCAACTAGGACCAGCCACCTGAAGTCAAGGAAAATGACAGGACAGAAGGGGCTGGGACATGGGCTGGAGAAAGGAAAAGGGAAGGAGAAGGGAGTGAGAGAGAGAGAGGAAGCCAAGTGGAGTCCTGCTTAGAAGAGGCCAGGAGGGGCGGAGGAGCAGGGCCGCTCACCCTCTCCGAGAGAATACACCTTGAAGCCAGACACTTTCTTGGCCAGGACGGACTTGGGCAGGTTGAGGAGGGCAGGGTTGTAGACAGGGAAGTCATGGTAATACTTCTCCAGGATCCACACTGCCACGCGCTGGATGCTGTGGGGGAGAGGGCAGGACGGGGAGGGAGAAGGGGCAGACAGGGGTACAGGGAAAGGCACACATCAGGGCAGGTTGGCAGGGCAGGAGGGGACATGACGGAGACAAGCTGCTTCCAGGAAGCCTGGCTCAAGCCTGACGTCTACTTACCAGGCTCCCAACCATTCCCAGAGCTGGGTCACTCGCTCCTCCCTGCCATGCTGAAGCTTGGGGGAGAAAGGGCGCTGGGCCTGAGTTCCCAGCCAAGGGTGCCCTCGGCTTCCTCCTGCATCTTCCCAAGGAGGTTCTGATACTCTACTGCCTAGGGGCACGGGGAGCACCCTACCAATAAATCTGGTGGATCGAGATGACTCATCCTCCCACTTAACCCCCATCTCTCTTCCTCTGAGGGTCCCTTCTCTAGCCAGGGTCAGCTTCTTGTGCCTCTAGGAAAGGTGATGTTCGTGACCCAGGGGGTGTGCCCTGGATCGATCCTCCCCTAAGATTCCTCATCTCCGATTGCCTGATTGGTCCCAACTCAGTGACCGTCCCCGGCACCTGGCCTACAGCACTGCACGTGACCTTCCCATCAAGCAAGAAACACGTTGAAAACCTACTACGTGCCAAAGTCCTCAACTCCTTCCACCTCGCCCTGCCAACCCATCACTTCTGGCCTCCGCACCACCACCCCTGGAACCCCCTCCTTCCCCACCCTCCTTCCTCCGGGTGCACATCTCACCCACTCCCCAGCACTCGTACCTGAGATGGCCAACGTTGTAGAAGCGGCTGGCCCCGTCCGTGGAGCGCACGACCTTGAGCGTGAACTGGGGCTGGAGCTGCCGCAGCTCCAGCAGGACCACGGCCAAGTAGTGCACGAAGAGCAGGGCGTCCACCAGTGACACCGCGAACTGCACCACGCCCTGGTAGCTGCGCTCCCGGGCGTCCAGGATGCGCACACCGTAGAAGAGCCAGTAGGAGGCCACGAGCAGGAAGACGAGCACCATGAGCAGGGCGCGCAGCACGAAGACCCGGGGCAGCGAGGCCTTGGGCCGGCGGAAGAACAGAGCCCAGCTGCCCAGCAGCAGGATGAGCAGCTTGAAGGCCACCGAAATGAAGAGGCCCTCGCAGGCCGTCCCGCACGGCTCCAGCTCATCCCGCCACAGCAGTGGGGGTAGCAGCAGGAAAGCCAGCGGGGTGAGGAAGGAGAGCAGCGCCAGAGTGGCCCCTGCAGCCGCACCCAGGTGACGGGAGCAGTCCAGGGGAACACTGTCCTCCATGTCCTTGGCGATTCGTGTGAGGTCATCGTGGGAGATGCTGTGCTCCGAGGTACCCGTGACTACCGTGGTGGTTTCTCCCCAGTTGTCGTCCTGTAGACAGGAGGGGGCAGGTGGGCAGGGGGATGAAAGGACAGGGAGAGGAGGTGGAGAAGGGAAAAGAGGAGACAGAGCAGAGTCAGCAACACACGGGAAAGGAGAGGCCGAAAGAAGAGGGGGAAACTGATAAGGATGCAACCGTCATCTGGGCAGAGACACCCATGATCCCAGATACTCAGGAGGCTGAGGCAGGAGGGTAGCAAGTACAAGGCCAGTCCAGGAAATTTAGTGAGACCCTGACTCAAAAAAAATAAAAAGAGCTGTGGATGTAACTCAGTGGCCCCTCGGTTCCATCCCTACAAAGCATTCATTGAGCTCTCCTGTGCAGCCAAGGCTGGCTTCCGCAGACACTGAACTCTAAGAGCTGGGCTCTCGGGAAGCTGTACACCAATCAGTGGGAGAGAAAACACTGCCCACGCAGCAGAGACCCTCAGAGCACGAGGCCCAGGACAAATGTCAAGGGAGCTGCTCAGGTAGAGACAAGGATTTAAGGCCAGACTCGCCAAATAAAACAGTCAGGCTTCCAAGGAATGATGGGACCTGAAGTGATCCCTGGCAGTGGGTGATATGAAAATGTTGGACTGAATTAAATAAAAGTGGGTCTGCGGTTCCCAGCCCCAGTTGCACACATTAGAATCACCCAGGGAGCCTGGAAGAGATACCAATTAGAGCAGGGTGAAACGTGCTTGTCAACTTTTTTTTTATAAAGAGCTCCCCAGATAATTCTAATGTTCATCGGAGATTGAGAATCTCAGAACTAACTGATCTCTAAGGGTCGGCTCTCAGAATGTGCTCTGTGGACTGGAAGTGTGGACATCACCGGGGAGCTTGTTAGAAATGCAGATCTGCAGGCCTAGCCCACATCCACTGAGGCAGAACTGGCGTTTAACAAGATCCCCGTGAATCTCTCAAACGTTAAAGTTGTACAAGTCCCGTCTCTGAGTCCCTTCCAGTTTGGGCAGCTTTCCATACTATCGAGCAGAAGCTGAGGGGGAGCAGAAACCTCCAGGATAGCAAGAGCTGGGGACCCAAGTGTAGGAGCAGAGCACAGCATGGCCAAGAGGTGAGGCCCAGAGCAGCAGGAGGGGCTTGCTGAGGTCATTCCAAGCTACAAGCCCTCCTCCAGGCACGGGGAGCGACTGAAGATTTCTGATTAAGGCAATGGCCTGACAAAAGTAGTGCAGAAGATACCAGAGAGGAGAGGGGGATGGTGAACGACCAGGACAGAGCATGGAGGGCACGTGCAGACTTGGGGTCACTGTAGGTCTCTGTGGAGAAGCTCTGCTGGGCCATCTGAATGCCCATAGCACATGGACTGCCTGATCCTGGAAGCCAAGGGTAGACAGGCTAAGGTCCCCAGATGCCCTTCTAAGTATGCTCTGCTCAAGCTGTTTCTCTGCAGTGGCTGGAGCCCGTCCCATAGAGGAGTCCCATAGATCAGCAGGATCTTCAGAGCCCACAACCTTCACTCCTGAGACCGCCTGGATCCTGACACCCACGGGATTCAGAACATAGGATTCCCCTCTGGAGGTGGGGAATGTAGCAGACCAACTGGCAGGCCAGTGGTTAGGGACAATGAGGAATATCCTCTCCCAAGGATGGGGGAAGACTCTGATCTGGAAATAAAAAGTAGACACACTGACTGCTTTCAGCTCAAGGAACTGGGTCTACTCCTGACCCAATGACCCCTAAACATACTGCCTTCCTTCTCGAGGACCAAGGGCTTGGGAACTCCTCTTCAATGACCCAGATCATGTCTCAGGGTCACTTTAAGAACCCAGGAAGCCAAGTCCTAGGGAGAAGGCACTGGGAAAGAGGGAGAAAGTATATTTTCTTCAGATATTGATCTGCTCCCAAGACCCAGGAATTTCCAATGTCAGCCATAGAGATTTCTTCTAAGGAATATGGAGCTGGAGTCTCCAGCCCTGTAAGATGCTCCCAAGAAGAAAGAACACGAGGAATGAAACTTAAGAAACTTCACCTGTCATCTCAAATCCTGCCCCTGTTGTATGCCAGGGCTGGGTTTTGCCCTCTGTGCTCCCTACAGAGGAGCACAGTAGGCCACCGCGGTTAGGACAAAGGCAAGTGCTTACCCTGTCCTGTGGAACTCTCTTCACCTGGCTCATCCACTCAGCCTCACTTCTCCCTCCCGCTTTCGGGCCACACCTCCACTCCCCAGGACCTAGGTGAGTCTGAGCAGCAAGCTGACACCAGAGGGCGCAAGAGTACAGACACCAGAGGAGTCTGACACCTAAAGGCTCAGGGAAAACCCAAGGCAGCACCCCCTGTCCAGGGCCACCCTCCACCAACACTCTCCTAATCTAGACTCCAACCAGCTTAAGTGGCTGGCATCAGTTCAAAAGGAGCCCAAGGGGCAGTCCCCATCACCCAGCCAGGTCATTCCTGTCTCTCAAGATACAAAAGAGGCCGCTGCCTCCAAAGGATTTCCACTCCAGTTTCCTGAATTCTACTGCAACAGTCCTACCTTGGGACACTAAGCCACAGAAGTATAACAAGATAGCCTTCCTGACTCAGCCTCTGTCTGAAGACACCGGGTTTCTGGTAGAACCTGCTAGAACCTCTTGTTTCTCCAAGGGGCAACCTGAAAACATTCAGACTGGACCGCTTCATCTCCCTGATGCTCACCCGCTCATCCCCCCGCGTAGACTCATTGTCCAGCAAGGGCTCTCCTGGAGCCTGGATTGTGACCGACTTGTCCCCACGGCTCCCATCTCGGCTCTTCGAGCGGTGTCGGTCCCGACGGTCCCTGCAGCAGGAAGCCAGAGTTACAGGCACAGAAAGTCAAGAGGGTCAGCTTCTTACCAGCATGCCCCCACACTGGCACGTGCCCACCTCTCAATGGCCCCAGCCCTCCCTCCACCACCGTGTCACTCCCGTGCGCATACCCACCTGTGCTTGCGGGAGCTGCGGGAGTGGCCCGACTTGTAGGAGTAGCCCGAGTACTGGGACTCGGTGTCCATGGCGTCGGAACGCCGCGCCTTGTAGCGCTCCAGGGCCGCAGGCTGGGGCCTTTTGGGGGGCCCCACAGCCACCTCCTTCAGCACCGGCTTCTTCAGGCCAAGAGGCACCTTTAGGAAGTCAACCGTCACCCTGAGGGACTCTATTTTGCTGGAAGGGTGGGCTTTTCTCAGAGAAAATCAAGCGGCGCTCCTGAAGAGGGGAACAGGGGGTTAGTGGGTCAGGACGGAGAGCAAGACCATCCCCAAAGGGCAGCCACAGGAAGCTCGGATAAGCCCAGCAATGGCCCAGAATACTTCCCCCCACGGTCCAGCTCCATCCAACAAGCTCAGTTCCTCCTGCCCTGCCTGCCAGGAAGAGCCCCCCACCCCTAACTGTGCCAGGCTCAGGGATGGGGGGAAATGCCAGCAGCAAGGGAGCCGGATGCAGTGGCGCTCGTCTGCAATCCCAGTGACTCAGGAGGCTGACACAGGAGGATTGCAAAGTCAAGGCCGGCCTGTGGAACTTAGCAAGAACCTCAGCAATTTAGCAAGACCCTGTCTCGAAAATAAAAGGCTGGGGATGTGGCTCACTGGGAGAAAAACCCCTGAGTTCAATCCCCAGAACCGAAACAAGAAAACAGAAACAAAAGAAAGGAAAAAGGAACTGCCATCTATTATAGAGAGGCTACCCGGGGCCTCTCCCTCCTCCTTGTTCTACTCACAATTTCTGAGTGTGTCCACAAGGGACTGTCTACGGCTGCTCCTCTTAGTAGCAGCAGCACCTACTTCAAAGGTACGGTTACTCTCCAGCACAGGCTGAGCGCTCTCCTTGAGGCTGTGTGTGTGTGTGTGTGTGTGTGTGTGTGTTGGGGGGGGAGTCATCACCATGTACCATGAGGGGTAGGAGTCAAAGACTCGTAGAGGGGCTGGGGGTATAGCTCAATGGTACAACACTTGCCCAGTGTGTGTTAGGCCCTAGGTTTAAGTCTCCGAACCAAAAAAAGAAAAAGAAAAAACGAGTAGAAACCATTGTCCAAAAGCCTAAAGTCCTGGAATAGGCAAGACGTAAGTTTATCTGTCCATTTACGGGCTGAGGGGTAGACTCTCCACCTGCACTTCACCTTCTAATTCTGCAGGAAGGGGTTACCATTCCTCCGTTCTTCCCCAAGTCCTACTCATCATCCTGAACGCACTCGCCAGAGCCCTAGCTACCCCAGCCCCCAATGGCGTCTTCCTCTCTGACCTCACTTCCAACTAATTTTCCTAACTGACCCTAGTTAACAGTCAATATCATCCCCGAGCACTTATTTCCTTTCTTCATCCACTGATTCACCAAATCTGTTTTAAGCACCTTCTGTATGCTATATATGAACTATATACTTTGCTAGGCCCGGGGTATACAGTGGTCTAACAGAGCCTGAGCTCATGGTCTAGGGATAAGAAGTGCCCTACCCAAGTAAGCAGGTAAATGTAAGCCACCATATCAGCATATTGGGAGGAAAAGAAGAGAGACAACTACGTGGAGCTACTTTAAACCGAGAAGACCCGTCATCCCAGGCACTCTGGAGGCGAAGGCGGAAGGATCACAAGGTTGAGGCCAGCCTAGGCAACTCACTCAGACCTGTCTCAATTAAAATTTTTTAAAGGGTTGGGGGTGTAGTTCAGGGGTAGAGCTCTTGCCCGAGGAGTAAAAGGAGGAAGGGAAAGAGCACAGGCCAGAGGAATCCTGGGCAGGAAGGCTGAAATCAGGGAAGAGCTATGTGCATTTAAAGAACAAAAGAGGCCAACGGAGCCAGAGCTGACGTCAGGAGAGGGTTGTGGAGGCCGGACAGCCAAGTGGAGAGCCCAGGTTTACTCTAAGGCAACAGGAAGCTCTGCAGACGGGATGGAAAGAGGGAAAAGTAGAAATAGGGAGACCAGTAAGGAGGTACTGTGGGAGTGAAGACTTGGCCACGGGTAAAGCACCAAAGAGGGACAAATGTCACGTCTGAGACACAGGTTGGTGATAGAATCCACAGGACCTGAGGAAGGACCAGATGACAGAGAGGGGAGAATCAAGAACTCCTGGCCTGAGCTAGGAGAAGATGATCATGCCACAAATCTTGGAGGAAAGAATAAAAAGCAAGCCAGTCTGGGGAGGAGGGAGGTAAGCTGTTTCCCACATGCAAAGCTCATGGCTGCAAGGCAGCTGAGCAGAAGAGAAGCTGGACTCTGAGGACAGTCTGAGCTAGAGGCACAGACCACACGCAGAGCCACCAGAAGGAAGAGAGTCCCTCACAGAGAGGACCGCGTAAGGGCCCAGAGAACTCCACACTGCATATGTGTCCAGAAATGGGGCTGAGAAGGCCAGACCAGAGGAGCTGGAAGAGTCTCAACGGGTCTCAAGGAAGCCAAGAACACAAGACGGTTTCAAGGGGGGAACAAAGTCAACCAGGTCAAATGCGGCTGAAAAACCAATTAAGGGCTAAAGCGGATTTACTCTGTATAGCTAGCTTTTCTCCAGCTACTCTAGGCCATCAGCAACCTGAAAATGAGAAAGTAACTGAGACCATGCAGTAAAGGAATATGCCTGCCCACTGTCAGGGAAACTGTGACTGCAGGGAGATAAAGTCAGTGTGAAATCCCGTCATTCATCCTCCTCCCAGAGTTATGTGGAGGTAATCCATAGGCTAGTGAGGCTTGACAATATTCCCATGTCAAAGCCAGTGCGTGACAGGGACATATTTAGGAGACAAAGACATAACACCTCAAGCAAACTCTGAACCTCTCTAAAACCCTTTGCCACAGATAGGGCCCACGTTTATCCCGCTGTCTACAAATTACATGTTGGGCTCTTCTCTCCTGAGAACCCATTCTACCGGTTTAGACGTCTCACCTGCACCACTTTTGATGTGGTTTCAGCCCATTCTTTCTAGTCCTCTTAAAAACTGAACTTTTCCAGGAGGCTCAAAGACAATAAGTGGATTGAGGATGGCAAAGTAGAGAGGAAAAGGATTAATAGTACAGACAGACACTAGACCCCACACCCTCCATCTTTTCACCCTCACTCTGAATACCCTTGTCTGCCAGAGCTAACAGGAGAAAGAACTTGGGTTTTGCAAAGATTTGGGTTCAAAACCTAACTCTCCCACTGACTAGTTGTGTGATTATGAGCAAGTTACTTAACTTCTCTGTGCTTGGTAGCCTCACTGGTAAAACAGAGAAGGTGATGGATGACACCTACTTCAGGGCCAGGGGCTGAGGGTGTGGCTCAGTGGTAGAGTGCTCACCTAGCATGCATGAGGCACTGAGATCAATCCTCAGCACCACATAAATATAAAATAAAGATACTGTGTCCACTTAAAACTAAAAAATAAATATTAAAAAAAATAAAAAGACTCACAGGGACAAAATAAGTAGTTTCATAAACTGTGTAGCTAGCAGTCAGTTAAGCAATTTAAAAGCTCTAACTCTGGCCCGGCACAGTAGTGCAAGCCAGTAAGACCAATGACTAAGGCAAGAGGATTGAAAGTTCAAGGCCAGTCTGGGCAACTTAGCAAGACACTGTCTCAAAATATAAAATAAAGAGGAGTAGGGATGTAGTTCAATGGTAAAGCAACACTAGGTTCAGTTCCCAGTACCAAAAAAAAAAAAAAAAAAAACCACTCAAGCTCCAGGATCACTTCAACTCCAATCCCCAGACACTTTCTCTGAGACTAGGGAAAGGAGAGGTATAAATAAATCTTGCTGTTTGTACGACCAAATAAAGAAATCACACACATGCACACACCCCAACCAGAACCGCCACTTCAAACACACCCAGAGGTAAGTTGATGCCACCGTGTTTCCCCTGCAGATAAACTTCAAGCCACACAAGGGTGCCAGTGCCCTCCCAGCTCTTTGTTCTGAGTCGCTCAGCCTGCAGCTCTCTACCTTCCTCCCCAGCTACTTATCCAAGACCCAACACAAATCCCGCATCCTTAGCCCGCCAACCCAACTTCTGAGACCCTGGCCTGCTGGCCTTTGGAGCATTCTAGAGAACTAACCCACTCGAGCGTCGTTGGAGAGGCTGGGGAAGGATGGGAGGTGAGCAAAGGGAAGGGCAGAGGTTCCCTTTATTTAATCAGTCTCAGGAATCAGAGGTTTGGAGGGTCTCCCGGGTGGGCAATGTTCCCAGGGAAGAGAGTGGGGGAGGGGACCGCTGGATGAGATCAACAAGTGGAAATGTCAGAGGGACTAGAGAGCGAGCGAGCGCGGGAGGAGAGCGCGGGAGAGAAGTCCCCGACTTGGCGGCGGGGTGGGGAGCCGCCCTGGGCTGGGGGTGGGAGGCTGTAAAAAGAAATCCGTCCCCTTGCTTCTCACCTCACCCCCCACTCCCAAGGCACAAAATGCGCACTCAGTCCCTGCTCAAGCCAGCCAGGGATTATCTGGGGTTAAAAAGAGGCCAGAGAGGAGAGAGCCAAGAGAAGAGAGCCCAGCACAAAAAAAGGAGACCCTTCTCCCCTCCAAAGGCCTTTCAGAAATAAAATTAATGGAATGTGTCTCAGTATCATCCCAAGGGAATGGGGGGGGGGGGCGGGGGGGGGGGAATGTGGGGGCTTTTGTCCCGGCTGCCCAGCTTCTCCCACATTGATCACCATGGCAACCAAAGCCCCCTGTTGCCTAGGTGATGGCAGCTGGGTCCTGGAACCCATACCCAGCATCCAAAGCGAGGGAGGTGATGAAGGTGGGGGAACGGGACAGAGGGGGAGAGAATGGGGCTTCTCCTCAGGCAGCCCCAGCTTTTGTCTCAACTCTGGATCGGGTTTCTCTGGGAAACAATTGGAGGCCTCTGGACAAAATGCACTCAAAACCTGGCAAGAGGCAGAGGGAGCAAGGCCCTGGGGGGGGGGGGGGGGGGGGGGGCTGGGGGGAGGGGAGCGGCCAAAACACACATGAGGATGTCTGACCCTTCTCCGTCCCCTCATTCACAGGGGCAGCTCAGGTGGACAAGGCACTGAATGAACACACAGCACCTGAGCAGGGCGTGTGCAGAGGACGGATGACCAGGTCCCAGTGGCTGTGGTCACCCTCTTTTGCCACTGCTCTAGTCCTGACACACCCACAGCCTAGTCCCAGCTACCGGGGGAGAAAGGAGGCAGAAGGCGATGCAGACGGGCTAGGAGAAAGCACTAGGGAACCAGGGTGACCTGGCCAGAGAGGACAGGGTAGGGAAGGGTCAGAACACAAACT